TAAAGCCAATTTGCGCTTTTAGCTGGAGGTAATATGGTGGGGGGGATTCGAGAGACAAAAGGAAAAAGAGAAAGAAAAAGAAACACCGCGCTGATCACTATAAAATAATGAAGGACTGTGACTTTGCACTTCTCCGGGGCCAAAAGTTATGAACCCCCACTTTGTTTAGTTTGGTAATGTTTGCATATGGAATGATACGTACATATCAGATTGGATAGGACAATTATGATCTGATGACAGGTCTTGTTTTCATTCGTGGCTTCATGCTTCCCCTAAACAAGCGAATCCCCTTTTCAATCTGTCGGCCCTCTCATATCTAAATTCTGCTACCTTCATCTTATTGGAGGTTATATAAATATCCACGTGTCAAATTCTAATTCCTCACGAATCAAGCAAAGTATGTAAAAGAGTAGTGGCGACTCATCGTCATGGCCCCTCTTTTGTGAGCTATAGTACCAAAGTAGTAGAAGATCGTAGGAGTACTACACTTAGCATTAATTTTTCTGTGTAAAATCTTCTTGAGGCGCGCTAAGATTATTATCTTTTCTTTTTGGTTTTTTTTTTAAAGATAATCTAGCATAAAAGAGTGTAGCGGCCAAGCAATTAGTTGCAAATAAGGCTTCAAATTCAAGTCAAACTTCTCAAGCATGAGATAAACCCCCCACACGCATCATTATGTTGCCAGAGATGGAGTAGCTAACCTAGAGCCATCTAACTACTCATTAACAAGCCAGGAGTTAAAAATCAGGATTAGAAAAAAAGGCCTGGCTGCTTACTATGAACAGTACAAGTTATCTGCAATTTGGTAAAGCAGGGAATGAGCCATTGGCATAATACTATAAACGATAAGTCTCTAAAATAGTTTTTAGCAGAGTTTTCATAGTAAATAATTATCGTTCCCCAGATGAAAGACGAGCTGAGGAATTTCCTGAGCACCGAGTGCAGTGGACATGAGTTAGATGGAGACTAAACGCCATGGATAAAACGTATCTTGAGAAAGAACACAACTAGATTCTGATTTTGTTGGGGAATTTCGCACTCCCCGCCTACTACAATACGCGCAATTTCGAAGCCAACCCACAATCAACAAGATATAAAACGACCACAATCAAGAAAAAAAGAACACCGGGATTTACGTAGTTCGGTCGACCAACTTCGACCTATATCCACGAGGCAACAATATGAGAAATTCACTATGTATCAGGGAGAACTACAAGAGGAACCTCTCAACTCTCGTCTCTCAATCTCTCAATCTCACATACATAATCAACTCTCATATTCTCTCCAAAGCTCACTCCTTATAATTTTTTGCACGGATAAAAATCACGAAACCCTCGCCTCTCGTACAATATTCTTTAATCAGGTTACACCATCTGCTAACCCTAGATTATAAGAATATTGGCTTTCTCTCTCTACTATATTTTTTCTCTACTCTCTTCTTCTTAGTCTTTCCTCCAACAATAGAAGAATATATATAGGGAAATCAAAACCCTATCTCTAGCCTAACTTCCTAATTAAAATAGGATTCAAACTCCTAATCATAATGGAACACAAACTCCTAATCATGATAAACCTCTAACCCTATCTAATTCTCATGAAGTTTTACAAAGAATCAAAGACACAATCCCAACAGATTTTGCTTCTGAACTCGGTCGTGGGCTTTGTACTTAGGCATTTTGGCTTCAATTTCCTGAAAATGTGTTAAAAATACTTAGTAGAAAATAAAATTTATAAGAAATGAGAGTATAAAAATACAATAGAAATTGTTAATCAGAAAGTCTAAGAGAAACTCTGATAAAATGAGAGAGAAAAATTAGGATTCTCTCTGTGTATAATTCAAAACTAGAGATATATATATTGGCCTTTTTGTTTTGATGATGTTTTAACAAACAATTTATAACTAATATTATTTGTCTAGTATTTGTGTTTTTAATTATATTTATTCTAGACAAATAATCAGTCGGAGGTTAGATGGAATCGAGCTTTCACGATCATATCCAATGGAGGTTGGCGGAATATCGACGTGAAGCAATGCAATTCAAGTTAAAGATCCAAGTATAAGATTCATCCACAAAGTTTACCAAGAAAAGCTCAATGAAGATCTATCAAGCTTGGGTAAATAGTTTAGGTGTTGTATTATATGTGTTCAATACTTTAAGCTCAATCACATACACACATACACGGCACTCCCAGCCAATCACATACACACATACACTTGATTGAGCTACATTGTGGATGATCCGCTCCATTAAACTTGATCTACATATTCTAAAACCCCAACACACTAAATTTGGGGTGAACCCGTCTTGGTTTGACCCTTCATCTACTCGTATCAATTTTAACGGTTTCGAATCAATAGAACTTTTTACATGGCTCGACGGAGGGTCAAACCACGATGGGTTCACCTTAAATTTGGTGTGTTGGGGTTTTAGAACATGTAGATTAAGTTTAACGGAGCGAATCATCCACAATGTAGCTCAATCAAGTGATCATCAATGACTAAGAAACTTAGTGGATGTCCACTTAAGTTTTTATATAAATATAAATTTGTGAAAATGTTGAGTTATTTGTTTATGGACTTAACAATTATTATATACATCTTTCATTAAGTCTATATATCATTTTATAAAGTTTTAAAACATGGTTTAGCTAAAATGTCAAAAATAAGTGTTGTTCATTTTTATGTTTTGGACTAGTTTTGTAAAATGATAAGTTTTTACTATTGAGAAGTGCAATTCCAAAAATTCTTTTTGTAACATGTTCATTTACATGTTTACAATTATTTACCAAAGTTTTATATTTTTTAGAATTTATTTGATATTTTTTTATCAAGGTTTAAAAGTTAATTTTTGGACATGCACAGTCTCTGTGCATGTTCATAAGTCGACTTATCAGGGTTGATAAGTCAACTTATGAAATGCTCTGGAATGTTTATTTTGCCACTGGTTGACTTATCAGACAATAAAAGTAGACTTATAGCAAGTCAACTTAACATTTACAAGTCGACTTATGGGCTGATTTTTTGACTGTAACGACTACTTACAAATTGACTTATCACTGTAGCAAGTCAACTTATAACCGCATAATGGCTAGTTTTCCAGACTCATTATTTTCAGGTTTTTTTATCTTTTTGCTGGGGTTTTGTTATGTTTTGAGGTCTCCTATATATACTCCCTTATACACAACTTTATTATTATCTAAGAGAAAAGTTTTAAAGAGTTTTTACAAGATTGTTTAAAGGTTTCTAAGTGTGTTTAAGAGTTTCGTTTGTGAAGAAATTTTTACAAGAGCTTGAGGAGATCATCATTTGTGTTTGGGCATTCAACTCATCTTCCTTGTTGGATATCATGTCCCGATGATATAATTTTGATGATAACAATTTATTCATAATCACTATGTGTATGTACTAACATTTCAATGTAGTTATGATATAATTTTGATGATAACAATTTATTCATAATCACTATGTGTATGTACTAACATTTCAATGTAGTTATCAACATGAACAAAGTACAAGATGAGTACTAACATTTCAATGTAGTTATCAACATGAACAAAGTACAAGATGAGTTCAAGGCATCAAGAAGTAAATAAGATGAAGAGCTTATATATATATATCAATGTATTTTTTTACATTTTCTTTACTTAGAAATTTTTTACAAGCCTTGATCACTCACACATACACACACATAGAGATTAGAACACACTAACACAGTCTTAGTGTGTTGGTTAACAATAGAAATCCCCTATGTTAACCATTAGAGTATTTAGTTAATCATTGAGTCTAAAAACATTTCATACATGATATTTTCACCCCTTAGTAGTCAACTAATTAGATTAGTAGTCGACTACTGAAGTCTTAGATTAAAATATAAGTTTCTGTAAAAATACAGAGTAGTCGACTACTAAAGATTATAGTCGACTACTCAGCTTCGAATGTTGAATTTTAGATTCTTTGTTTTACAGAGTAGTTGATTAATGACAATAATAGTCGACTACTAAGGCAAATTCTGAGTTTTCTGAAGTTTGTTGAACTCAGAGTAGTCGACTACAATAACAATTAGTTGAATACTAAGACAGTTTTCTGACATTTTAGAATTCAAATTAATGACAGTTTATAGTCGTTTTGTGTACGTTTTTAGGGTTTGAAAACCTATCTTTTCAAGGCTATAAATATGATACATGTTCAAAATTTTGGGTCACGAATTCCTATATATAAGATTCAAGTTTTGTGCATCTTTCAAAAGAAAAAATTTCAGATTTTCACAAAGTGTTGAGAAAAATCATTTTCTGATTTTGCCTTTGATCCTCATTCAATATACAATCAAGTTAGGTAGTTTTCCGAGATTCAAAACATTCCTAGCCACTGTTACACATCACAATACTATCAAGGCTTATAGGAATCAAGTTGTATCAAGATAAGTGTTCTCTCGGGTGTGAGAGGTGTAATCTTTTGGTGAAGAGATTGAGTGTAATTTGCAGGGACTTGTAAATTGGACAGGTTTGATGTTTTGATTTTATATGTTTTTCAAAATCATAGTGGAACTCTCAAGCGGGATTTGCTTGGGGACTGAATATACATCTGGGAGGTAGAACCAGTATAAAATTTTGTGTTTGCGATTGTTATTTTCTGTGATTGTGCTATTTCTTTACAAATTATAATCTTCTTTGTATTCATTTTTAAAAGAACACTATTCACTCCCCCTCTAGTGTTTTATTGTGATTTTATCAGATCCTACATTTGGTATCAGAGCAAGGTTGAAAAAATGGCATTTAATTACGACTCAAACTTAAAATTCAAGGAAGGACACTCTACGAATCATCCACCAATGTTTGATGGACTGAATTACAACTATTCAAAGTGTCAGATGAAAATCTATCTCTAATCAATTGGCTACGAATTTTGGAACGTTGTGGAAGCAAAATATGAGAAGCTAACTACTCCTTTCACGGAATGGACTACATCTCAAAGGAATAATGCAAATTTAGATTCAAAAGCAATGAATGCTTTGTTCTGTGCTCTTGACAAGAATAAGTTCAACAGGGTGTCAACGGCTACATCTGCATATGACATTTGGTACACACTTGAGGTAACTCATGAAGGCACAAATAAGGTTAAAGAATCTAAAATTTTTGTTCTTGTACACAAACTCGAATTATTTAGAATGAAGGAAAACGAGACCATTGGAGAGATATTTATAAGGTTTATCGATATCACCAATTCTCTCATTGGTCTTGAAAAAGTATACACTCAAGTAGAGATGGTGCGGAAGATACTTTGTTCACTTACTCCACATTGGGAAAAGAAAGTTACCGCTATAAAGGAAGCACATGACTTATCAACTGAAGATAGAAACAATGAGGATGAATCAAAGAACAAGAAAGTGTAGGCATCGAAAATTGCCCATAGGTCTCCACGAACAGCTCAGTGTTAAAGAACGACGATGAACGTCACTATCCGATCCATAGGAGTTCGATTGATGTCGATGAAACGATTGAAGCAAATCGACAAACTACGAAGGCACGGGCTAATCAGGAACCCTGCGGTGTTTACAAAAGGAACAACGCCCTCCATATCTCGTTCATCCTACAGATAATCCAACCATCAGAGCGGGTAGAACTCTTCGTCAGGCTTCCAACGCACTTGGAATCACTCAAATCCGAGTTCGGACGAAGAATTTACGGCGGAAACAATCAAACATACGCAACGGAGCGTCTCAGGCTGAACTGGGACACCCGGGGTGTCTCGGGAAAGTCGAAACACCCCAGGGGTGTCTAGGAAAATCCTAGACACCCCAGGGGTGTCTCGGCCAAGCCGAGACACCCCAGGTGGAGAATTGGCGAAGCCCTGCTGGAGTGAAGAGTGATCGAGCACTTCAACACAAGAGAGTTCTTCATCAGATCTACCTCACCCGCATCCGTTCCTTAGCATTACCCCTCGTCGGTAATCCTAAGAAGAGCAAATATCTCGCTTTATCCGAGATAGGCGCTTCAAGTTTCTAGATCTCCTAGTGGATCGACGAAGCTCTGCCCGATTTTTCTGGATCAGATCTGATTGCCAGGTAGTCCACGGATATCGACGTCCCCGTCACAGGCTAAAGACCCACGCAAGCAAGAGACGATAAACGGATCTTGTGTTTATTTTCAAGAAAGTTGTAATTTTTATTTTCGTTATTTGAATTCATTTGTAACGTTTAAAGTTTTAATGAAATCAACGATGAAGGCAACTTTCGACGAAAACAAACTGGCGACCACAGTGGGAGCCAACAGCCTCGCTGCCGAGGCTGTCGTGACGCAACCGGCATTCAAGATCCTTGCCGCCGCTGCACTTGCACCACGTGACGTCCCTGCGTCGTCCAACGTGGTCGAGACCGCAGATCCGGACTTCTCCTCCGCCGAGGAGATGGCTACTGAAGACGCTCCAGCATTGTCAAAGAGAGCACGCCAAAGACGGCGTCAACGCCTTGCTCGTCAGCTGGCCAAGGCTTTGGAGCCGATGGACGGGATCCGCTATAATGTGGATCTAAAATCCAGGCAGCGTCGGGAACAATAACGGCAAACAACCAACTCCTCCTCCAAGACAGAAACGAACGAATGGGTTCGTGTCAAGAGGACCCGCTCCACCCTCGAGGAGCGAATCAAGAAGCGTCGAGCATTGCTCGCACATGCCCGAGCCCTTTTGCAGAGAGCGAAAGAAATGCAGAGGGGAGAAGCAGTGGAGAAGCCGCCTAAGCGCAAACAAGTTTGGGTGCCAAAAGCCAAATCAGCGCCTAAGGCAAAAGCAGGCAACGTTGCTCTCCGGCCTTCGTCAACTTCAGATCCCGAACCTCCGATAAAGCCCTACCGCAGCGCGGATTTCCCCAAGTTTAGGATTCCTCTGAAAGATCGTATCGGTGCCCTAGGTAAAGCACCCGTCAAGGAGCGATTGGGACCGTTGAAAAGTCCCCAAACAACAGTCAAGACTGGGGGTCGTACTAACAAAGGGAAAGCCCCTATTACCGACCGCATTGGATTGCGAGTCGAAGTTCAAGAGCCCGTTGGACTTTCACGCTCTCAAAGGCGTAAAAGTGAACGAGTGACTCTTGGAGACGCAAATAAAGCGTCGCGTCCCCAGAGGGAAACATATTTGTCTGATGACGATGTTACACCTGGGAAGGCGTGCCAACACTTTATGGGTTGCTCCGGTTATCAAACTGATGAGCTGTATAGGGCTCGGGGTGCGAATAAATCCCGGAAAAGAAATGTTCGAGACACGGTGCCTCATTGTCCGTGTGCCAACATAATCAAAGCAGTATTATCGGAATGCTGCTGTTCTAAAACCCCAAAAAGAGTCTCAGTGTTTGAGAGAATCTCTACCAGGGCGTCCGAGGCCAAACCAAGGCATTTCCAAAGGAGGAAACCCATTCGCCAAGATGATGAATTTCCAGAAGTGTCCGTCAATATGACCGGCAGAAGGAAATCGACGCAACACTTAAACCCAGGTGATTAGGGTCTTATGCTAATCTAATCCGATTAAATACCAATTAAAACTAATTAATAAGTATATTCTTGCAAGATGGATATACTACTAATAATGAGCAAGAATATGCAATATAAACAATGAGATATATCCTATATGATGAAAAATATATATGCAAGGATATATAAACAAACACAAGGGGTAAACAATATGAAATAGATAGTGGATCATATAAATAATGAGCTAATGACAATGGCGACAAGAGATATAAACATAAGTATAAATAAACGCCAAAGCACACTCAAACACACAATATGATCACGGAGTTCGGACCTTCCGTCCTACGTCTCCGCTCCCCACTCCCGGGGAGAAATCCACTATCACAACCGGGTTTTCTACGCTCACCCGAATAACGTTTACAACCACACAGTGTCGGTTTTCAACGCTCACCGAACAACGTTCACTCCTCACACTCGGTTTCTAGTTCACCGAAAACTTCACAACACACTCCGGTTTTCTAGCTCACCGAAAACCTTACAACACTCACAATGTAACAAATAAATGATTTGTTCTCTCATACAAGGGGAGAACTCAATTAAGCACAACTCAATGTTAAAATCTGACATATTCAAAAATTGTTTTGCTGATTTTAAAACGCTGTTTAAAAATATCAAATAAATTCCAAAAAATGTAAAACTTTGGGGAATGATTGTAGACATGATAATAAACATGCTACAACGACTGGTTTCGAAAAAGGACTTCCCAAATGAAAAATATCATCATTTTACAAAATAGTCCAAAACATGAAAACCTGAAAATTGATATTTTGATATTTTGACTTAAACAACATTTTGAAACCTTATGAAATGATTGTATAGACTTGATAAAAGATATAACATGTTGTTATGAAGTCTATAATCTAGAAATACAATATTTTCATAAATTTGCATATTCTATGCAATATATTCAAAACACTAAATATGATTTCATTAAATATAAGCTTGTTAAAGGTGAAATCATATATAGGCATATAAACATGAAACAAAATAGTATTTTCCAATTCTATTCATTTGTTTCATAGTAAAACTTGAAAACTATCAAACCAAAACATATATGTATATATATAACCGTATATATATAAAATCCAAAACGTGTATGTGTGTATATGATTGAGCTTAAAGTACTAACACACATAATATAAATTCCTAAACTAAATTACCCAAGCAATGATCTTGATCTTCAATAAGCTTGACTTGGTAATCTCGCGGATGAAGCTTGAACTTGGATCTTGAACTTTGAATAGCAAGGCTTCACCGCCATTCCGCCAACCTCCTTTGGATGTGATCGTTGAAGCTCTATTCCATCCATCCTCCAACAACGTTGTTTGTCTACAATATATAAGAATGTACAAACACTAGACAAACAACATTAGTAATAAATTGTTTGTTAAACATCATCAAAACAAGAAGGCCAACAATCTCCCCCTTTTTGATGATGACAAACGAACAAGTAACCAAGATGCTTGAAGAGGCCCTGGCTAAGCAGAAGGAAAGCTTCAAGTTCGAGATGGATCTGGCCATGCAGCAGATGAGGGAAATGTATGACCAGCAAATCGTGACACTGACAACTCACCAAGGAGAACCCAGTCGTTGCGCCCTGGCTAAGCAGAAGGAAAGCTTCAAGTTCGAGATGGATCTGGCCATGCAGCAGATGAGGGAAATGTATGACCAGCAAATCGTGACACTGACAACTCACCAAGGAGAACCCAGTCGTCGCAATAATCAGAATCAAGATGAGAATGAACGGGAAGAAGATAATGTCAATCCTGTCAACAATAGTAACGGAGGCGGTCCTACGACGTTCGAAACCCTAAGGTCAACGCCGGTCAACGCGTAACCCTAGGTCAACGCCAGTCAACGCATTGCGATCAAAAATTCAACGTACGACATTCGAAACCCTAGGGTTAACGCCGGTCAACGCGTAACCCTAGGTCAATTCCAGTCAACGCGTTGTGAGTAAAAATTCAACGTACGACGTTCAGAACCCTAGGGTTAACACCGGTCAACGCGTAACCCTAGGTCAACGCCTATCAATGCGTTGCAATCAAACACTCCGAAAAGTATATGAGTATAAACTGCTTCTCAATCCTCCAACAGGTGCATGAGGTTAAACTGCCTCTTAAATACTCCAATAAGGTATATGAGTATAAACTGTTCCCTAATTTTTTGAGAAGTTCCTGGAGAATGTTTTCTATAAATATTCTTAAGGATAACTCAACAATACTAAGGATAACTCAAACAATAAGACGCCGGACAACGCGTTGCAGATAAAGACTCGACGCCAACAATCGATGGTCAGCTAAATCAGGAACCGACTTCAAAGTTCAAAATTCCGACAACGGTCAGACAATAAATGCAGCACCGAAACTCTTTCAGACATTCGACAAAGCACCGAATAGCCTGGAGAATTGAAGGAATCAAGAACGGAAGTCATTCCAAGGTCCCATTACACCGACTGAAGGTTGGGACGATCATATCCAAAGTATTCCAGACTCTTCTATAAAAGAACGAGACTGAAATACTTTGGAGGGGGTATCTGTAGGCATATAAAATTGCTCATAGGTCCCTTAGCTCAGCTCGGCACAAACCGACAAACCAACGAGGCAACGAGATTGACTAATCGCACGCAAGCAACGGAATACGTCCATTCGCGTGCGGGATCAAGCCAAGTGTTCGAAGAGTCAACGAGTCATCCAACCAAAGGCATACTCGGACGAATGACGATCGAATCAAGATCGGTTTCGGACTCCAACTCAGAAGCGGATTTACTGCCTAATCGGGATCCGGATTTACTGCCAAATCAGATCAACCAAATCAAAGACTAAGTTAATCAAATCACGGACAGAACCAAAGGCGGAAAACACCAAAAACC